GGGTGCCGGGGTTTCTTGGGGGATGATGAAAATGTTCTAGAATTGATTAGTGTCACACAACTGTGAAAATACTAAAAACCACGGAATGGAGCACTTTATTTTTTAAGTGTTTTAAATTTATTCATTTAAGTAATCTCTACACCCAACGTGGGGCTCGAGCTCACAACTCTGAGATCAAGAGTCACTCGCTCTACCAAGTGAGCCAGCCAGGTGCCCCTGAATTGAGCCCTGGTTTGTTTGTTTTTTTTTAAGTTTATTTATTTATTTTGAGAGACAGAGAGAGAGAAAGAGAGAGTGCAGGAGAGGGGCAGAGAGAGGGAGAGAGAGAATTCCAAGCAGGCTCCGCACTGTCAGTGCAGAGCCCAATGCAGGGCTTGAACCCACAAACTGTGAGGTCATGAGTTGAGAGTCGGTGGCTTAACTGACTGAGCCACCCAGGCACCCCCTGAACTGAGCACTTTAAAAGCATGAATTTGTGATACAAGAGTCAATAAGGTATGTTTTTTTAATTCAGGCAAAAGTATCTGTGATGAGCAAACTATCATATTTTATTTATTTTTAAGTTTTATTTATTTTGAGAGAGAGAGAGCGCACGCATAAGCGGGGAGGGGCGGGGGGGAGAAAGAGAGAGAGAGAGAGAGAGAGAGAGAGAGAGAGAGAGAACTAAGCAGGCTCCACACTGTCAGCGCAGAGCCCAGTGCAGGGCTCGAACTCGCAAACCGCGAGATTTGTGACCTGAACCGAAATCAGGAGTCCGAGGCTTAACTGACTTAGCCACTCGGTCTCCCCTAAAATATCACAATCTTAAATAAAGACGGGCTGCAGTCCTCACTGGCCTCCCCCTAATCCCAGCCCTGGGCAAGAACTCGTCCCTCACACACCACACCACCCCCAACCTCTTCCCAGTTCCGGTCAAGATCCTTGACAAAATTCCTGCAGTTTGTCCCCCTGGGGTGGCCCCAAGCTCCCAGAAAAAGGGGTGCACGCCATTTCCTGGAATGAGCTGGGTGGTGCATCTTTCAGGGCTCTGCAGAACTAGGGTCATGCTTGGGGGCAGAGGAGAGGAGGACATGTCATTGGCCAGAAAACCCTCCTGCGGGCCAGGCCAGGCCAGCACAGAGGAAAGGGAGCTGGTTAACCACTGAAACAGAGCTCTCTGTCCACGGGAATTCACCTTCTCTGTCCGTCATCTGCCCCCTTGCTTGGGGCTCCTGTCCCCCTTGCCCTGAACTATGTCTTCATCTTTCCAGTCATCTTTTAACACTCTTCGTAACCCGTGGCTACCGAGTCCTGGAAATGTGGCTAATGCCTCTGGTGGAAATGATAATATTTTGGATATATTGGGTGAGATTTCAATTTTTTTTAAACACAATTTAAATTTTTTTTTATTTCTTTTTTTAAATTTTTCTTTTAGTTTATTTTTGAGAGACAGAGAGCATGAGCAGGGGAGGGGCAGCAAGAGAGGGAGACAGAATCCGGAGCAGGCTCCAGGCTCGGAGCTGTCAGCACAGAACCCGACACAGGGGCTGGAACCCATGAACCATGAGATGGTGATCTGAGCCGGAGTCGGACGCTTACCCGACTGAGCCACCCAGGCGCCCCTAAAAATTTTTTTAATTAAACATTAGAAAAATGAATTTCACCTGTTTATTTTTACATTTGTAATGGTACTTCTGGAAAAATTTTGATTTCATACATGGTTCACGCTGTATTTCTATTGGACGGAGCTGCTCTATAATTGACTTACCCATTCTGTTTGTTATTAATGGTCGGTCTCGCTCTGCTAGGACGTCCGCCCCCTGAGGGCAAGGCGTTTTTTGCCTGGCTTGTGCCCTGCTGTATTCCCAGTGCTTGTAATGTACATACACACAGTAGGTGCTCAATAAATATTTGTTGAGAGTGAATCGCTAGCTAAATTTCACTGCGCAAGGACCATGCATACTTAGCTCTGCGCTAAGCAGAGGCTTTAATAATGCATTCAATTCTTAGAACAACTCCGCCTAGTTGTTCCCATCTGCAGGGGGGGAAACGGGCTCAGAGGGGTTAAATGGTTCAGAGTCCCCCAGAGCCAACAGCCCGCCTGCGCAGGATGAGGCTGGCAGTTGCCCCTTGGGAAAGTGGGACCCCGCCTTTCCTCCAGGGCTTCTCCTCCGATGCAGGTTGTTCTGGGGAGCGGGCAGCTCGCTGCGGGGGCGGGGCCGGATTCTCAAGTCCAAGCTGAAGGACAGGATGCTGTGTGCTGCCCCTTCATGGTCTCATGGTTTTCCTGGCCGCTATCCCCTGCCGGGAGGCCTCCTGCAGCTCGCCGTGGCGACCTTTCACCCAGGAGGGACCGGGAGGGCGGGGCCTGGATTCTTCGAACCACTTTTGAATTCTTTTTTTTTTTTTTTAATTTTTTTTTCAACGTTTATTTATTTTTGGGACAGAGAGAGACAGAGCATGAACGGGGGAGGAGCAGAGAGAGAGGGAGACACAGAATCGGAAACAGGCTCCAGGCTCCGAGCCATCAGCCCAGAGCCCGACGCGGGGCTCGAACTCACGGACCGCGAGATCGTGACCTGGCTGAAGCCGGACGCTTAACCGACTGCGCCACCCAGGCGCCCCCAACTTTTGAATTCTAACTGCTGTGTCCTGCGCAGCCTGGCGGGTGAGCCTGGGACTCTGAACTGAAGGTGGGTTTGGTGGGGGGGTGGGGGGGGGGGGTGGGGTGGCAGAGCCTCCAGGGAGCTTCCGGTCCCAGTACCCACAGAGGCTGCTGTCCTGGGTCCCCTGAGTAGGGCTCCCTGGTGTGAATAAGAAGGGAAACGTCACGAACCTGACCCTGCTTTTCCACAGGGACGAAGGAACAACGAGCAGAAAGGGCTGCCCTTCCCCACCATCGGGAGATAAAGCTAAATTGAGGAGCTGTTCGCCTTCTAGAGAATGACACAGGACCTACTTTGTCACTGACCACACTCCGACCCCCACCCCTGGCTGGCCTCAGGCCACCTTAGCCTTTCTTGACGAGGTATGGGTCTCCTAGGGTTGCTTAAGATGACTTTTCGTAAAGCGCGCAATGCAGAGATGCCAAACTTTCTTGGTTTGAGGCACCCCCGGGGTCTCAGAAATTTTTTCAGGGCACCTCCTACTCCCACCCGTGCGAAACAAAACAAAACATCAAAACCAAAATCAAACCTAGCCGTTATGTTTAGTAAGTATTAGGTCAAAACAACCCTTTTTTAAAAATTTTGTTCAATGTTTATTTATTGTGGAGAGAGAGAGGCAGAGCACAAGCAGGGGAGGGGCAGAGAAAGAGGGAGACACCGAATCTGAAGCGGCTCCAGGCTCGGAGCTGTCAGCACAGAGCCTGATGTGGGGCTCGCACCCACCAACCGTGAGATCATGACCTGAGCCCAAGTAGGACGCCTGACTGACTGAGCCACCCAGGCGCCCCTAAGGTCAAAACAACTCTTAAATCTGCATGTTCTAACAACTTAGTAGCCACTTGCAAAATACACAAAAGCTGAAAGAAAGAGTAATATTTTAGTTCCTTCCTGAATAATCCTAAGTACACCCTAATGGAATGAGAGCTTGTTGGACTCTCAACAACTCAACCCTTGGAATTACATTGGTCATTACCATCCTAATTTCATGCTCCACAGTAATTTTCGCATTATACTTGTTTTTTATCGAAACTGCCATCAACCCAGCTCTACCGAGTTGCAACATCATCCGAAGGAATGAAGCTCCGACATTGAAAACGCGAACTACCTAGAGCTAGCAGTTTTCAAGGTGTCCGGCAGGTGTCGCTGTGGACCTCTCAAAAAGCTTCTGAACTGGTCTGCGGTCCCCTGGGGCGCCTGCGCGCAGTCTGAGACCTGCCCACCTAATAACGGAGCGACGTGGACACGGTAGGTACTCAGTACACTCAGCTCAGTAGCTGTGAGCTTTATCGCCATTCTGCCCCACTCGGCGAGCAGCGATTTGCAAGGCCAAAGTTCAGGGAAGGCATAAGGCTTCCCCCTTGGCCATCAGAGACAGCACAAGAGGGGGTGCCCTTTCAGCCAGTCTCCGTGCTCTCTTGGAAATCAGTTACCACCCCCATCTCAGGGTCCCCCTCTATTCAGACTCAGACTCTTCTTCCTCCCGGCCCCTCTACCCTTTAGGCCTTATTGAACAGTGGCTGGCGTATGCAATGTTCGTCCGCTTTCTCCTTTAACACCTCAACAGCCTCGGGAGGTAGGGACGTCTATCCCATTTTACAGCTGAGGAAACCAGGGCTCTAGGAAGATATGTAACCTGTCCAGCTGGTGCATAGCAGAGCTAGGATTTGAATCCAAGTCCCCCGGATGCCAGAATCCAAGCTCTAACCACTATTCCATGCTACTTTTTTTTTTTTTTTTTTTTTTTGAGAGAGAGAGAGAGAGAGAAAGAGAGCATGTGCACTCACGAGAGCATGAGCCCGGGGAGGAGCAGAGAGAGAGGGGAACAGAGGATCCAAAGCAGGCTTCATGCTGGCAGCAGTGAGCCCAATGAGGGGCTCGAACTCACGAACCCTGAGATCATGACCTGAGCCGAAGTCAGACACTCAACCGACCGAGCCACCCAGGTGCCCCGCTACCTGTTTTGTTTTGTTTTTTTTTTTTTGAGGCAGTTTGCTCTCACCAAACCCCTGTTACTGTTACTTTGGTGGTGGTGGTGGTTCTGGGCGATTCTGCCTCTCGGCCTTGACACTTTCGAGCTGGTTTTGCAGATGAAGAGACTAAGGTGCCAAGGAATAAAACAGTGGTCAAGAGCACGGACCCCACTCGTGGCTGCCTGGGTTTGAGCCTGGCTCTGCCACTTACCAGCTGTGTGACCTTGGGCCACTTGCTTAACATCTCTGTGCCTCGGTTTCCTCTTCGCTGACGTGGAGGTGAAAATACTATCTGCCCCGTGAGTTGGCAGGAAGATTAATGAGATAATACACGGGGAGGCACTGTGATGGGCACGTTGTAAGCACACCCCCCACCGGAAGAGTGTTGTCACGTGGTTGTGAACATGAGTGCCCCCCTCCCCTTGGCCAGGCTTTCTCTTCTTTTGCAAAAGTTCTTCCCTTAAGAGGCCCTGTCGCCCATCCCCTTTGACTGCTAAGCCCTGATTCTGGCATTCAAGGCCGTCCTTACCTCAACTCCACCCTCTAACCAGCCACACTATCGGCCACTTCCGGGGCACGTCTGCAACTCTCACACCTACGCTCGTGCACAAGCTGTTTCCTCTACCTGGACACCTCCGCCTGTTAACCTGTCCTGAAGATCCTCCCGGGCCTCCTTCTGACCCCTTCTGTTGCCATTAGCAACAGAAGCCTTCACTAGCCAGCCTTCCCTAACCTCCCTGGAGCAGGACCAGGATACCCCGGACTGAGGGTTAGAAATGCAGGTTCCTGACTGCACATTCAAAGGGTTTGATTTTTAGTAGATCTGGAGTGTGGCCCAAATACGTAAGCCCTTAAATAAATAAATAAATAAACTTAAAAAAAAAAAAAAAGACACCACATGTAAAATGAAGTGATTTGGTGTGTGTACGTGTGTCGGTATAAACCACGGTGAGCGGTTATGGGAAGATGGCCTCCAAAGATGTATCTGCAGTTATCTCTAGATAGTGGGATTTCAGGTAATTTTTACTCTCTTGCTTATTCTTTTCTGTATGATTTGAATAGTTTAACATGAATATTTACTTTTTATATCAAAAAGAATGTTTTTGGGGGGCGCCTGGGTGGCTCCGTCGGTTAAGCGTCCAACTCTTGGTTTCAGCTCAGGTCATGATCTCATGGTTCGTGAGTTCAAGCCCCGCGTCAGGCTCTGTACTGACAGCACGGAGCCTGCTTGGGATTCTGTCTCCCTCTCTCACTGCCCCTCCCCTGCTCTCTCTCTCTCTCAAAAACAAATAAACATTTTTAAAATAATAAATGTTTTAAAATTTCTTTTAATGTTTATTCATTTTTTTTTTTTTTGAGAGCCAGAGCGTGAGTGGGGGAGGGGCAGAGAGAGAGGGAGACACAGAATCCGAAACAGGCTCCAGGCTCCGAGCTGTCAGCACAGAGCCCGATGTGGGGCTCGAACTCAAGGACCTCGAGATCATGACCGGAGCTGAAATCGGATGCTTAACCGACTGAGCCACCCATGTGCCCCAAAATAATAAAATTTTTTAAAAGTAATATCTACGCCCAACATGTGGCTTGAACTCAGGACCTCCTGAGGTCAAGAGTTGCTTGTTCTACCAACTGAGCCAACCAGACGCCTTAATATAAAGTTATTTTTATTTGATTGGTAACTCCTACCTACCCCCCCACCCCCTTGCCAAAGAGCCAGGCTCCCCAGGCTATGGTGGCACCCAGGGTTTCGTTCCCCATCGCAGGTGTTTGGCTCTGGATCCCCACCTGGTGGCAAAAGCCCACGGTATGTCTACAACTGGGCACCCGGAGCTCATACATTCTGATTCTACACTCCTGGGGTCTATACACAGCACATGCCCAGGTAGTACCCGTGGGATGGAGTCCAGTACGATTTCTGAACCTGTTTCCTAGGATTTTCTGAAGGTACCTTATCAGTGAAATTAGATTGTAAGCTCTGCGAAAGCAGGAGAACCTGACCTTTTTACCCCCCTTGCCCCTGCCCGGTTCTGATATGGGCACATAGGGGCCCTTCAGGGTAGAACAAAGAGGTGAGGCGGAAAAACACCAGTGGAAGAGGGGGTGTGGGGGGGGTGCTGCTCAGAGTGCCTTCGTCTGTTTCGATGTCATCCTCCTCATTGACAGCAGAGGGCGCTCTACTTCCACGCAGCAAAAATTGCCAAAAAAAAAAAAAAAAAAATTCTCCTATGAACTCCCCAGTCCCAGAGTAAAAGAGGTCCGGATTCCAAGGCGCCGCCCGCATTGTTCCTGAATCGGACTCTGGCAGAAATGACAGAGAATCTCTTCTCTGAACAAGACCTTGGGCCGTTTTCTCGGGATCAAGCAAGTTGGAGAAGAAACTGCCTCACACAGCTGCCCGGGTGTCTCAGATGGGGCTTCTGCCCTCCTTAGGAGCAAAGCCGAAGCCCAGGGACACTTACTAGAATACAAAGACAGGAATCAGAGTAAGCAAATGAATACATTAGCCAGGACTTCGCTCGGCCGCCCCAGGGCGAGGCAACGGTGCTGGCCGCAGAGTAAACTGTTGCAAAGCTCTTCTACGTACCAGCTGCGTGGCTGAACAAGTCCCAGAAGCAGGTCCAGCCTCAGTTTCCTTACCTGCAAAGTAGGCATGAGGTGGGCCTCCCAGGGTGGGTGGGATAATTCAATAAGATAAATTCAGTGAACTAATCTATACGACAAGCAGGCGTTGATGACATGTTGGTTTTCATCCCAGCAAAAATAGCTAATATGTACCATGTGCCAAGCCTCACGTTTAGTGCTTTACTTTATCGGCTCCTTCAACCCTCACAATAACCCTGTGAAATAGGTTGTATTATTCTCCCCCTTTCACAGATGAGACAGGCCCAGAGAGGTTAAGCAACTTGCCCAAGGTCTCCCAGCTAGAAGTGACAGCTGAAATTGGAGCCCAGGAAGCCTGGCTCCGAGCCCCAGGATGAAATGGCCTCAGGGTGACCAAACTACCGTGTCCTTCGGGAGTCACGAACATTGGCCCTTGGCTGCTTTGGAGAAAAGTCGACCAATCAGCTGAGCAAGTCCAAAAAGCAGCTGAGGGGTGGAAAGCAGGTGCAGGCGAGAGTCCTCGCCCTACAAGTCTTCCCAGATTGGCCCCCATGCACCTGAATTCGGGGGACCAGGAAGTGCCGATGCCCTGGCATCGCTGATGGACAAATGTCAATTAGTCACAGCCTCAATACAGGACATGGGCAATTCCAGAAAGCCGTAGCTTCTGGACTCCACCCACTGAAAACGGAGCCCCTGTGAGGAGAAGGGACATGAAGGAACTGCTCCATCAAACTCAAGCAGTTGTCCCCGGGGTCTGGCATTGGAGTCACATCCATTCACATGCCTCGGTGGGCCTCACGCTTCGCGAGTCATTGATGATCCAGGACAAATAAACCAAAAGCCTGTGATTCTGTTTCTGAGTGGATGGAGACAAAGGAGCCTGGGAACACTGGTTGTTTCGGGGCGGGGGGGACCCAAGAACTGGAGGACAAGGTGGGATGAAGTCTTCTCTTTTGTGCTGTTTCATTTTTACGGCACCTTGGCAGGATCCAGCTGGCATTCTCAAATTAGATGATGAGACTTTCCGTAAAGGGGCTCTTTACCAAAGTGGGAGATGTAGAAAAACCTGAGGGACGGAGTATCTGGGTGGGGGCTGGGGCTGGGGCTGGTTGGCAGCCTGGACACGTGAGGGGTGGGAATGGCCTTCAGTGCTTTGGAAAGGGCTGTCCTGAGAGGCCGGAACCAGGTGACTCCAAGCCAGGAGGTGGGAGGGCAGTAAATACCTCCACCTCCACTCCAGTGTGGTCTCCCCACCTGCCCCAGGGTCTCCCCACCTGCCCCATGCAACCACCAGGGACAGGAAGACTCCCCGGGACACAGAGCCGAGTGGAGACCGGAGATCACCGCTGCAGGGCAAACCAGACCACCACACAATGGAGGTGACTGTGATTTAAAAAAATTTTTTTTAATGTTTATTTATTTTTGAGAGAGAGAGACAGAGCACGAGCTGGGTAGGAGCAGAGAGAGAGGGAGACACAGAATCGGAAGCAGGCTCCAGGCTCTGAGCTGTCAGCACAGAGCCCGACGTGGGGCTCGAACTCACAAGCCGTGAGATCGTGACCTGAGCTGAAGTCGGACGCTCCACCGACCGAGCCACCCAGGCGCCCCGAGGTGACTGTGATTTTGATGATGTAAGAAAAATATGTTTGGTCCTTGTCGCTGGATTCTGGCAGAGCCCCTAAATCCTTGGAAAATGGAGTGATGGGGTGATAGGAATATCTTCGGTTACAATCTTTGACCTTAGTCCCGGGTTCCAGACTTCAGACCTTCCAAGATCTTTGGAATCTCCAGAGTGATAAAACTGTCTTTTTGTATGTTAAGGAGATGACTGATGGCTGGGGGGGAGTGGGGGGGGGGGAGGAGGGGCACTATGGGGGCTCACCACCAGAAAGACCGACTCAGGGTTAGAGGATTGGAAATTTCAGCCCCACCTTCCTCACCCCCACCCCTGACCTCTGAGGAGGGACGAGGGGCTGCCCACTGAGCTAATCCTCAAAGGTCAATGATTCAACCACCCATACCTACATAACGAAACCTCCATTAAAACCCTAAACGAGAGAGCATTGGGAGAGCTTGGCGGGTTGGTGAACATATCCATGCACCACAAGGGTGGTGCCCCCCAACTCCATGGGGACAGAAGCTTCTGTACTTGGGACCATTTCAAATCCCGCCCTATGTCCCTCTTCCTCCGGCTGCTTACCTGCATCGTTTATAATATCCTTTCCAATAAACCAGTGATAGTGAGTAAAATGTTTCCCTGAATCCTATGAGCTGTTACAACAGAATACTGAGCCTAAGGACAGGGTCCTGGGAGCTTCTGATTTGAGGCCAAGCCGGACAGAAGCGTGGGTACCCTGGGAACCCAGTACCTGTGACTGGCGTCCGAGGTGGGGGCAGTATCGCGGGACTGAGCCCTTAGTCTATGGGCTCTGCACCAACCCTGGGTAGTTAGCGTCAGAACCGAATTAAAGGCTGAGACTCCTAGAGTCTCACACAGTACATCTACCTACAGTTCACTGAACAAAATGCAGTCACGTGGCCACACCTAGATGTAAGAGAAGCAGGGCTAGGCCTTTAGACAAGATCAGGATCCTGTTACTAAGGAAAAATAGAAACAAAGCATATTGGATGCGTAACTAGCTACAAATGATAACAATAACACCTCCATTTATTCCGCGCTTACTATGTGCCAGACACAGTGCACCAGTGTGGCCTGGTCAAACAAGATTGACCTCTGCCCCTTCCGTAGCCAGGGAAACACACACACACACACACACACACACACACACACACACGCGCGCACAGAGGAGCCATTTGGGCATGGCCCCTTAACTGTGAGCAGCTGATGTGAGAAGTCTTTGTAATGTGACCCCAAGCAGGGAGGGGGAATGTTCCCTTAGCATAATAAGGTCAGGGTTACTGGTTCTCCTGAGATGGAATCAAAATGCTGTGACTTGGGGAAATATTAATTTCCAAGCAGAAGACTGGGGGGGAATGTTTTCAGAAGGAAATTAATCTCTGTGGTTTGAGATAGGTTTGATTGTAAATACACTGAGAGAAGACTGGCCGCCCCTCTCTGGCATGGAAACCCCCGTCGCTCCAGCCGACCCCATCCTCCCCGCGCTCCTGCCCCCAGAGGAGTCAACAGATGGTGAGACCAAAGTCCCTCTGTTCCCCTCTGCGAGTCAGCAGAAACTCGGAGAAGAAAGGCTTTTGATAGTCAGCAGACTCCCAGAACTGCGCACTTAGCAATTTACAAAAAGGGGCTTCGGTGGGGACTCTGACACCTTTACAGAAA